CGGTGACAGTGGCCCGAGGTGACCGGTGTCCCGGACGGCACGGGGAGCACCTCGGCTGAGGTGGTCGTAGGGGGTCTGTACGCACTTGCAGCCCGTTGCCATTTCCTAGATCCCCCTGCCGAGACCGCACATGTAAACGCCGGTCTCTCTCTGTGTGCCGGTGTTCCTCTTAAGCAGGGTGCTCAGAAACCTGTCTCCTGTGGAGCTGTAGCCTCTCGGTCTTCTGGTCCCTCTAAGTACTTTCTCAGAAATCGCTCAGTTTTCTCATTCTTTGTTCTGCAAGCTTTTCCTTCCATTACGGAGCATCCTTCTTCAGATCATCCCATGTCATGTCCTACGCATTTGGCATGTTTCTGAATGCAGTAATTATGTGTCATGGCCTCATGACTGAACTCATGAAGCTGAACTTCTTGTTGCTTGCTGTTTTTTGATTAGTTGGTTGGTTTTTTGGTTGGTTTTGTTGTTGTTGTTGGTTTTGCTATTTCTCTCTCCTCACATGCAGCTGCATGTCATCTTTAAAGGTAACCGCATTTTCTTCCTCAACATCTTAGCAACAAAATAACTGCTTTGGGTTTTTATAATACCCTGTTGTAGTACTATCTTCTCTGTCACTCTGTGCTGGATTCTTTAATTCCAAATTATGATTGATTTTTTGCGCTCTCTAGTTACATTAATATGGGTGTAGTGCTTGAATTCCATCACTTGCCCATAATTTTAATTCATGTTGTTCTTAATTTCCTGGGTCCTGTAGCCTCTTGCACTTCAACTGTCCTTCTGTTTTCATGGGCACTTTTTTGGTGTTGAACAAGTTCAGGTTGCTACAACTTACTCTTCCTAACCTTTATCTGCCTTCTCACTACCCATTGCAAGCCTGAACATCTGTGTGTGCTGCAACAGAGGGAACGGAAGAGGTTAGGTAATACTTAGCTTGCTATAGATGCCATGAAAGAATTGCTAACAAGTGATTAGGTCTTCTTTATTCTTTAATGTTATATGCAAGCCTGATTAAATCAGGCTTTATTTAATTTCATCTCCAAAGCTTTCAGTCTTAAAATGCTGATAAACTTTTTAACATTTCTGTCATTCTTCATCTTTGAATACCACAAATTTGGGTAAATGGTAATTAGTTATGGTTTGTAGCTTAATATTGACAGGCTTTGACCTGCCTGTTCTCTTTCAGTGTGTGTTTGAAGCCCCTTGTTTTGGTGGGATTTTGTCACCTGGTCACTCTTGAAGGATGAGTTATGTGGCACTGAAGTGGATTTCTAAGAATCTCCAGAAATCGTGGCTTGTGGTGCACATCAAAAATTTGTATTAAATTGTTAGTAAATTTGAAGTCTAAATTTTATTTCTTCTTATTCTATATAAACTTTTATTATTCTAACAATGTCTGAGCTCCTTTCAGCTTCTCATTAAACAATAACTAACTTGTCATGTGGCTGATCTCATTTTCCCCCTAGGATAAAGGCTTTCTCATCTTCAGTGACCTGTTTTGTTGAGAGTTTACCTGTTGGTTTTCTGCATCATAGAGACATTTTGAATAATGCGACTTCATTCCTGGTTCTTCCTTATTCAATCAATTCAAATTATTCAGGTCCTTGCTGTCACTCTTTTCACTGGATGGCTCTCTCTTAAGTGCCAGGTTAAAGCCTCAATTTTTTGTTATGTGTGGGAGTTTTGTTTTGGATATATAGCACTCTATTGTAAAAAATAAAATACAAACCATACATGCTTATATGAAAAAAATCTTTAGTGCTGTAAGTATGTGTTAAAGTGTGTAAAGAATTAGCTCTTCTGAGATTATTAGAACTCTTCAGTTTAGAAATTAAAAAAATAATCGAATTCTTTTGAGCTGTCATCTGGAATTCTCTTATAGGAGCAAAATACATGTATAGAAGAAAATATAAACAAAACAAAATTATATAAACATGTACTATCTGACTTCTTTATATATCTAAAAATATTTTCAATAAATTTGTACAATAGTGCTTTTCCTATGTTTCTGTGCTGAAGTACTTTGCTTCATTAACACCTGTGGCTGGTGTATATGTAGATACTAAGATCTTGTTTTCAGATCGTATGATTTTTATTTATTTTTTTTTTTTTAGCCAGAGACTCAATCACTTGCATTTAAGAAAATAAAATTATGGGGCTGCCATTTATTAGAGTCAAAGTGTAGATCTACAAATAGCTAATACTTTTTTTTATTATTTTTATCTGCCTTGGGAATTTTTTGCCACAGCGACTGGCTCTGACATTACATGAACATATAACTTAGTGTTTATTTGACTGACTGGAGAGTATCAGCTGCTACCAAAAAATCTGTTGACAGTGTTTCTTTGGAATTCTGAAAGAGTGGTATTTAAATATGCTGATTTATGATACCCACCTTACATGTAGATATTTACACAGGAAATTAAAACTTAAGGTGAGAGTAGGAGAATGGTGCAAACTGTGATTGATGTCTGCTGACAAAATGTGTTACTTGCTCAGTTACGTTGCTTGGTGAATGCTGAAGGCTGGAGATCACCTTGCTTAAAGCACTGATTGACCAGCTATCAACTAACAGCCACATGAATTAAACAGTCTCATGGTCTCTTCCCTATTTTGGAGCCTGTTAGAGATTGCCTCCTTACCCATAATGATTTTCAAATTCTGATTTTGTTTTTGTAATAGTTTTGTAACAGTTTTTGTAATAGTAAACTGTCTGTATAGAGTGCATTAGATGGTATCATTGAGTTTAAATTACTTCGTTTTTTCCTATTTTTAAAATGTAGATGGCCTAACTAGTTAGTTTATGATCAGGGTGATGGGTAATAGTAGAAAACTGAAGCAGCACGTTGATAAGAATTAGAAGAGCAACTGACAATACTCACAGAAGTCCTGCTCTGCTGCTGTATTGGAGAGATTTTCAAGGGGAAGGTTTTGCTAATTAAAATATAAGCACCTTTTTACATGAGAAAGTGTGAAAGTTGGGGAGGAGAAAAGAGATTAAGACAACACAAACTGATTGCTAGTTGGAAGACAGCTTTAGTATGTCCCTGCCTAAGTAACTTTTCCCTCCACAAAATTCCTTGGCAGGCTTTCTCCACTGTGAGGCTGTATTTATACTTGTAAATTAAACATATCTGGAAATCTTCTTGGACACAAAGAGCAACTGACATGAAATGGCCCATGTCTATGCTAACAAATTGTCTTATCTTCCAAAGCAAGGCAGTAGGACAGAAACTGCTTGAGAAATGACCTTAGAAGGAGTCCTCACATCAGGCTGGGAAGGTGCCTCAGAGAATGGTGGTTGTCGCAGGCCAAATCCATGCCAGGGACTGTTGTCACAGTAACTAATACAGACAACTACACTTCATTGAATTCACTGCTGTCAATATAGCTTAAGACTCCTATGGTTATTCTGACTCCCATAAAGGGTTGAATATGATAAAAGAGGTTTCATACTCTGCCTCCCTTAAAATGACTGCTTTTAATCTTTCTTAAATAATAACACTGTGTCAGAAGCAAGAGCAGCATAAAGCTAACCAGAATAGGGTTTTGCTCAGATGAAATTACTGGAAGAATTATCAAGGATAGAATCTGTAGGTGCTAAAAATAAAGGGAACCAGGCACTGGGATTGGTAAGGAACAGTTAATCACAAAGGTGCAGGAGAATAGAGGAGGAAAGAAAAGAAACATCAATTCTGATGGAAATTAGGACAAGACTCAGAAATCAATATAAAAAAAGCTTTCTTCGTAACGCTTATGTTACCTGCTTCAGTTCTTAAAATTCTGTACATCTAGAGTTGACTGATTTACATATTCTTCTGTTTGGTGCACTTGGTTATCAAGGCTAAGCATTATTTTTGGCCTAGTGCAATACTCAAATCTGAATTTAATATGGCAATAAAGCTTTCATATCAGGAACTGCTTTGCTAAAAAAAAAAAAAAACAAAACACCCCAAAACCCAAACAAACAAAAAAAACCCAGAACACAAACCCCAAAACCCACTCAACCTAAAACAACAAAAGAAGAGAAACCCCATGTTGGAACAGTGACAAGGTACACTTGCTTGTCAAGTACAATCTAAGTAAAGGGTTTGGGTTTTTTGGGGTGAAAGAGGCAAAGAATAAGTTCAGGTAGGAGTTGCTAATGTGCTGCAGCAGAAAAAGGTATAAAATGCTGTGTGCGGAGGCATCATGTCTCTGAGTGAGGAGGTAGTAGTTTATTGTCTAAGATATAGAAGTACGGGATTTTACTTTCAGGAATACAGATTTCTGTAAGAGGGCAATAAAACTTCATTTGTTGTTATTCATTGTATTTTCTCTCAAATAACACGTTAACAAAAAAAACCTCCTTTATGTAGAAGTTTTTCATTAGTCAGAATTTAACAAATCAAGAATGGATTGATAGGCAGTCTTCGTAATAATTTTCATTTTAAACATACTGAAACAGTACATTTTTGATTTTAGAATATAAATGAGTTGGTGATACAGGAGAGAGAACTTCTCTGATGTTCTGAAGACACTGAGTTAGGGATGGAAAGTAAAATGTCTGTAAAGACATGAAGCCACATGTTGAAAGGTGTGCATAATTCATCATGGTACTACAGAAAATCTTATTTAAATTTGGTGGGGAAATGTGAAATTTTGAGTAAGTGAAGCTTTTTGAATACACATGTATGTAAAAAAGTTTGCATATAGTGCAGGAAGGAAACTCTGCTTCTGCTGGTGCAGAGCCTTCCCATTTGGTGTTGGAGTAATTTCCTTGAGTACTATAATTGATATCATTCACCGTACTAAATGCTGCCTCATCACTGGGTCCAGGGTTAAACAAGAATGAGGACTATATAATTGCCTTTCCAAATGCACTGAGTACTTGTGCTGGTTTTCTTTTTGCTGTAAATAAATAGGAGGAGGAAATATGTTGGTCCTCCCTTTGGTCAGTACTTTTTCCAGTCTTACTTTAAATACCTTTTTAATGCAGGTTAAAACCCCTGTATTTATCCTTCGTCTATGTGTACTATCTGTTCTGCTTCATATTGCATAAGTATTTAATCACATCCATCAGCAAGATGTTATATGGTCACAAAATAGGTGCTTTTTATTGGTTAGGAAAAGAGAGCTGAGGAATGTGTGGAAGTAGACATGGACTTGACATTCTCCTACAAATATATAAGTGCCAAACAATGCCTTTTGGATCACTAACTTCGTATTCTCAGTTAAACATATTAAGTTCCTAATGAAGTCAGTGGGAGTAACACATTTGTACATACAAAATAAAATAGGACATTTTGCTCTTCGGTGAGATTTCACAATGTAACTCAGAGCTTCAAGGATTGTAAGTTAAAAACAAAACAAAGAGAGAAGACTCAAATACCTTCAAGTAATGTGGCTTCTGATTTTCTGTTGTGTTGTTAGAAAACTGTTGGTTCATTTATATGTTACCTACAACTGACCAAGTTGTCCAATTTATGATTGGAAGGGTATTTAAAATAACTGCTTAACTATGTCAAGGGCAGATGGTATATAATTCAGTGGTAGGACGTAACAAGCAGATTCTTTTTTGATGTTTAAAACATCTTTTAATAAATTGACCAACAAATTCTTTTGATGAAATGGGCTGTTTTTTATCAACAGATTAGTGTTTCAAACAGACCCTGCCCATACAAGGTAATTCTTCTACTTTCAAATTTGAAAACATTGTTTTGGTGTTTACCTTTTAAGTCTGACTTAAAAGTGTCCTGTTCTGATCCATTTAATAGCATGCAAAGCTCTCTCTTTCTTGCTGCCTCACTAGAGTTTCTGTAGTATATAGGTTTGTTAAAGTCTAGGAGGGCAACGTAATAATTAACAACAGCAGAATGGTGGGTTTTTTTCATGTAAGATGTTACCATCAAAACCTAATTTTAAATTTTAAGCTTGGCAAGGCTAGATTGTCACTTCCAGCATGGTGCTGAGCAGCAGTTGAAATGCATACTATACCAGTGCTGAATAAACAGTATCATACGTGCTGTTACACAATACAGAATTCCTCCTAGATAGCTCCTTGGCACTGAGCTGATATGTGGATCACAATATATTACTACTCATCCTGTTTGAGTAAGTCCGGCTATTCCATGCTGTGAGAAGGAATAAAGTCATTTACTGACCACTGATTTGTGCCATAAACAAACAAAGCAGACAAACAATTTATCAGGTCCTCCATTTGAAAGTTCAGTTGCAGACTAAAGTGGAGAAGGGTTCTGACAGGCTCATGGCAGGGAAGAACAACACTTATAATCCAGTCCCTGACTGTAAGTCAGCCTTTCTTTTTGCTTTTTAATTGAACTTCAGTATGAACCAAGTGAATAATTGGAGAGAAATACAAGCACTAAGGAGACTTGTCTACATCCCAATATGCTTATGTTACATGAAGTTGTTTTGTATGGTGCATTCATTTCTTACTCCTTTATTTGAATCATATCCAGTAACTTTGGGGTCTAGAGGCAACCTGTAGGAACTTAACCAGCTTTTTATTTTTATTCTTTTTATTATTTAATATTGGGAGGGGGAAAAAAAACCAAAACAAACCAAAACCACAAAATGAAGAAACCAAAACAAATTCTAAAGTCTTCATGTTGTTTTTATAAGAAATCTGATGTAGCTGTCACTTTCTCTGGCTTTCTTGCAGCAGACCAAAAATATTTCAAGATCAGTATTAAAATTACAGACTAGATATATTCTAAGCATAGCTAAACTTCATGTCATAATACGTAATACTTGCTGGTGATTTCAACCCATGTCCAGTGAATGCTTTAACTGCACAACAGTATGTTGCTGGAGGCAGGAGTTTGGTTAGACGTGCTCAGAGCTGATCTGCTGGAATAGGCTCTGGTACTTCAAGGATCTTGGTTTGACTTGTCAGTTTAAACTAGGGATCGAGGCAAACTATTTGGCAGTATCATTTCATAGACAACTTTACACATAGATACCCTATGAAAATAACAGAAGTTTAGATCTCTGAATTAGGCAGCACTGAGCTGTGAATTTGGAAAGAGATCAGTCAGTGCTAAAGTTGGGTTCTGTAGCCTCATTAGGCACTTAAGTGTCTTCTGGGGACATGTTCTGTTGCACAAAGAGATCAGGTTTTATGACAGCAGTTGCTCCATTACTGTGTGTTACACTTCACTCTCTGCAACAGCAGACATACACTTCATTATTCAAATACTTGACACAGAACTGGTTGACTAGTCTAAAATATTTTTTTCTTGCTCTTCCGGCTGTCTTATTCCTCTGCACAAGGCTCTGGTACTGGGCTGTAACTGGCAGGCTTGGTTTTACCAATGCATGGAAAGCCGGTAATGGTGTCAGAAGCTTAGCTTCTGGAGTTCTCGGCTTCAGCTGCCGTGTCGTTAACTCAGTGTAATCCAGATGGCCAGCCAGTTTGCCTAGGTCTGTCACAGTCTGGCTGGAAACTGAATTGCAGATTGCACCCTCAACCTACTGCTGTCTGGCTTAATGGAACATTGCAGAGGGGATATACTGTAATGCAATTATCTTGCAAGACAAACTGAAGACCTAAAGGTATCTGCAAGGCAGTGAAATGGAAAATAAACAATCAGAGGTATTACTATAGCGTGATAATACTTAAAATTGCTGTTACCAGCAAAGCACAGATTCCAGTCAGATACTCATTTGCCTGTAATAGAACACTAATGGTGGCATAGCTAGAAAGTATTTTCATGTTTGTTGTAATGGATTTCCTACCTTCTGTTGTGAGATTGTGTCAGTTAATTTACTGGAAATTTCTTGATACTAATCAATGTGATGTGTCAGGAAACATGCCTCAAATAACTTCATGGAGTAAATCAGTTAACTTTTGCAATGGATGCTTTGGATAGTATGAACAAAAACTATGAGACCTCAAACCCCAAGTAGAAAAACTTCTTTGAGAAAGTATCAATTAAAAATTAAAATGTCCCTTTTAATACTGGTGAAACTATATACTTTTTCCTACACTGTGTACAAATCGACATGTACATTTTATTTCTAGCTTGAAGTCTCCTTACTTATTTCTTCAGTGATAACTGGCTGCCTTTCACTGATGTGTGAATTTATGGATATGAATATTTATGAGCTGATAAAAGGTATGTAGTGCATGCTTAAGAAACACACAAACTCCTTGTGTAGATGCACTTTGTAGATCACAAAGTGGAATGAATTATTTTTCACTTGGTTGTTCGCCGTTACATGTTTTAAAACTCGTAGGGAAATTTTGTGTTGTACTGCTTTACTCTTCTTTCCAGTGCAATATAACCACTTGTTTAAGGCATGGATACATGCAGGTTTCTGAGGAGTCAGGCCCATGGCTATCTATTTCTACAGTCAAACTTGACATGAAACCAGGGAAATAACCTTGACTGCAAACCAGAAAATAACTGCTTTATGTAAAAAAAAAATCCAACTTAAAAAGCTTCTTTGGTAGGTCAGGAGTGTAAGTGATACAGTAAGAAAATTATTCCCATTTGTTTCAAAAACTACTGAATAAAGAAATAATGATTTTTCAGGTTTTATAGCTAGTAAAAATGTCTTTTAGAAAGTTTTCTCTGTAAAATCACACTGTTCCCTGAAGCCTCCTATACGTGAAAATTCTGGAGATGTTTGTCAAAGCAGATCAGAGCCCATAAGGTTTAAGGGAGAGTTCCTATGTAAAAGTTTAGAACAAAAGCTGATTTAAAACCAGATTGCACATAGACACCAAAGGAGTTGGATACAGCAAATGAAGGGGCACTTACTTACAATTCAGTATTAAAAGAGGATTTTATTTTTTTTTTCTGAATAATTAAAAAATTGTAATGCCTTAACAGTTGGAAGATTCATTTAAATAACTGAGCATGCAACTGTCATTCAGTAATAGGATAGATAAAAGACTTGCTCCCAAACATTACATTAGTGACAGCAGCATTCAGATCTCTAACAAAAGGAGTAACCCTGTTCCTGACCTAGATAAAATTTGAGATTAAAATACAGTTGTTTGCTGATTACTGAAGCAGGCATTAGTATTTCCTGGCTTTAGTAAGATATTTCGTTCTTTCAGGATAAATTTGTTAAGTTGTAAAGTCAGAGTTATAGCATATAGGAAAGAGTCCTCATTAAAAACAGTCCTGCATCTTCTCCTTCCAGGAAAGATACTGTACTTCAGTCATGAAAAATCAGAATGTTTAGGTTTGTTCTTTAACTCATTTGGTTACATTTGTCAGTGTCTCTTTTCATGTGAAAAAGCCTGCTATATTAACCATTGTATACAGCTGGAACTTAGTCTCATAGTTTCAGTATGTTCTGCTTTGTTTGTTTTTTATTTTAAAATACAGGTTTTATCAAATTCAGGTTTTCCATAAGACAACTGTTTTCCTACCACTTGGTTTTAAAAACCTCCTTGTCCGTGGCATGGAATCATTTCAAAGTGAGTCTGTGTTCAATTGTAATCTGAAGTGCTGCGGTTAGGGGTTATCTGAACATTAATCTGGGTCTACCTAAACTTCTATAAATTGGTGGTTAATTTTTATGGTCTGGATTTTGTGTCTGGATTGATTTTTCCTATGATACGATGTCTTTTTTTCCACTTTGTATAGGAGGGTGGCAGATGGGGTGGAGTTTGCCAAATCATAGAATAGAATGGGAAAATGAAAAACAGATTCTTGTTGAGATTGTAATAAACTAAAAAATATTTTGAAGTATTGAAGTATTTAATTTGTGTCTAGTGCTTTGCATTTTTCAGAAATGAGTTTTGGAGTTTCAAATTAGATGTGTCAACACCACAGTTTCCTATGGGGCAGAAATAGTCTTTTATTTGTTTTCTCCCCCAGGCAACTCTACTTGTGGCTTATTGCAAAGCCATGCAGTGCAACATGGCAGTCATCTCCAACAATAAATAGGGCAAAGATTCCAACTACATAATTAAATTAGGAAATTAATCTTAGTTCTGAGCCAGACCAGGTATTGACTGAAGATATTTAGGTAGCAATGGAGAGTGGAAGAGGTCCTTTTGAATTTTCAGGGCTGTGACTTGGAGTGCATTACTAATTTGTAGAACAATTAAATTGTTCATTAGCGATGCTCTGTCACAAAACAGGTTTCAGAGTATACAAAAGTAGTTACATGTCAGATGATTTGTAGTCTTCTGTAAATTCCTACAGTGCATAGTAACGCAAATGCCTGTCTTTCCCTGACTACTTGCAAAATGAAGTTTAATAGAGGTGCAGAGCAATTTTTAAAAGCTTTAAGTTGGAAAAATACCTTGAAGCAGGGGTTGACTGAAAAGGAATTTCTGAGTTAACAAGGTGTGTGGAGACGCTTCTGTAATTATGAGAACAGTTCACGGTAATGCTACTAATGTGGAAAGTTGATCTTTCTGGTGTTTTCCTTAATAAACTGACAGATTCATATTATTTCAATCAAGACAAAGCTATTTGTCTTAGTCATAATTCTACTCCTATTAATTATTAATATTGGTATCACAAGTGATTTAATAACTGAAAAATGGACTTGCCTTTTGTTTAATGAAGAACAGTTCAATCATATAAAGCGATGAAAAAAATAGGGCTCAGAGAGAGGTGGGGAAGATGCCTCAAGCAGAAACGATTGCATCCTCAAGTGCTATGATTGGCCTCATCATTACTTCCAAATGAGGTTTCCGTAATGATAAATCTGGAAGTAGAAGAGCATCTGCTCCAGATTTAACTGGTGATCTGTAATGAAAAAACAAATGAACATGACTTCTTTTTATGAAGGCCTGATTTCTTAAATGTTAATAATAATCCAAGTTGGTCTGAATACCCGCATTTTATAAAATAAAACTTTTCTACCATAGATGACAAAAATCCTCGTGTTGAAAACACCGTATATCTCTACTGGGGTACTAATACCACAGCTCCCCATGTCAATGGTGCTCTGTTTCAAGTGCTTTGTTATCTAATCCTGATCAGTGGATTATGTGGCTGACTGGAGGAGTACTGTAATCAGTTAGGAACACAAGTCCTGCTGGCTGCTAGGACTTGCAGCCTCAATGAGTTAGTGTCCTGATAATCTCCCTCCTCCTCCTCCCCAGCCAATTACTCATACTGCTGTCATCAGGCAGATCAGTACCTGCTTTGTTTTTCAAAAATGTGATCATTTCTGCCTCCCTTGATGACATTGCAGCATTACATAAAGGCATTACAGCAAGATTAAAAGGCCTTTGGAGCCTATAAACAAAAAAGCTGAGTAGTTACTGAATAACTCTGAAAAATAGATAAATTTTATAACAGTCATTATTGTGCAACAGCAACGGCAGTCTAAACTACATAGGTTAACCTTTAATTTGCAAGTCAAATGTGAATCAGTCATTTAAGCACTGCAGTAATTTGAGGTGATTGATACGAATCTTGAACCTTAAGGACAGTTATTTTACTTAGAGAGCAAATTAGATGTTTAGAAGTGAAATACTGCAGTTCTATTAGAATTTGGGGAAACAGATACTGCAGGAAAAACATGCAGTAAAAGTGAAGGCAGATTACAGACTACTGAATTGACAGTTGTTATCTGAGCTATTCTGGTACATGTAGAAATCTAAATTATGTCTGAAGTTGAGTGGAAATGGATTGCAAAGCTGGCAATAAGTGATAGAAATAGCATAATTGAAAAAGGTAATATCGATGCACTGCTGGAAGCTGAAGAGTAATTGTTTTTTATTCTATTGTTTGCTAAAAAAGACTTGTACAACTTGAAATTTTAATTCTAGGAAGAAGAAAGCCATTACCTGGGAAGAAAAAAAAAAAAAAAAGAAAATATTAAGAACTCCATGTACCGGTTATGCAAATCTCTTGATTACATACATAGGTAAGAGACTTGGTTCAGAAGCAGCTTTGCAGTAAATGCATCATACATTTAGTCCAGGGTCATCTCTAAAGAGAGACTTAAGAGTTGCCTGGGCTAGCAGACTGCTGCAGGGAGAGAAAAGGCAGTTCAACAGGCACATCTTTGCCTATAGCAGAGCCCTGGGGCAGCAAGTGAGCAACCCATGCAGCCACCAGCACCCCAGAGGAGCTCTAGTACCTGCTGCAGGAAACCCTCTGGAAGCAGGTAGCCCTTGCAGCCTCTGGTAATGCTGGCAAGAGCAAAAGCAGAAAGCCTGGCCTCTCCTTCCGGGGCTTGCCCCTTCCCCATTCCCATACCTGCAGCTGTTGTCTCACCATGGTGGCAAAATCCAGGTTTTTTACTTTGCTGTTGGTAAGTTCGAAGAAAGCACTAGTTTCTTCAGGGTTTTTTTGTTTGTTTTTTTTTTACAAATAACTGGAAGCACTGATAATGTTTCTCTTTTTACTGAACTCTTTTCTCTGGTGTGTTTACATTGGTACAGAAATAGAGTATTTCAGAGAGATGTGAAACCAGAAAACATATTAATAAAGGTAGTTCATTTAATATGAGAATATTTAACTACAAGTGGAGTGTATCAGTATTTTTCTCTTTTGAGAAGGTAATGCTTCCTGATGAATAAAAGCACAAGTTTTAAAAAATATATAGGCAGTTACCTCTAATACCGTATTCCTGATCTAGAGGAATGAACAAGGAAGTTTGTTATTGGCTAAAATCTGAAATTAATCAGATGCATTACTGCCTGTGTGTGCTCACTCCAATCTAAAAACCTGTTCTGTCTCCTTTATTAATAAATGTCTTCCTTTCTGTGTTAACATAGAAACAGGCAATAGGGTTCAGTTCTGCAGCTCACTCTTTCTACATTCAATTCCTACATTTAGTGGAAGTTACACAAATAGAGCAGAAGGTGTCAGCTTTCAGAAGATTTCTTTACTGAAATCTATTCTCCTGACTGTTTCAGAATGTTGTTTTGTTAATATCTGACAAGCAAGGATTTAAAAATTCAGTTTATCTCCCTTTCTGGAGATAAATTTTTCTTTTACATTTTAGAAGTGTACCGGAAAAGCCGTTACAAAGAGGAGCCAAAGGCACCTGTTACATCACTGCTAAACACAAGGACCCTCAGAAAATAACTTAATCCAGATGTTCTATTTAGCAATCTTCCCCTCAGTAATAGTCCATATGTTTTCCCATTAACTCTTAGGTCTTTCTTTAATGATGTACTGAGGGTATTTGCACATATTATGGGACAGATACTTTAAGCCTGGACTTACTTGCTATTTAAATGCAGTTTTACTGCTATACTACTACTCTTGGGATTTCTGAAAGTTTACTCTTAAAGTAATCTGTGATTTGTTTTATAATGACTACTTCACACATTTAAAGGAAATCTTTGCTTGAATATTTCAGTGTTTCTAATTTGTCAAAATACTTTATTTTTGTATCCTAACATCAAAATACCCTGATGTTAGAAGATTTTGGATCTTCTAGGAGTTATCTATTCTAAGCAGCCATGTGCGGAATCATGTCCACAAACACGTACAGAACACATGAATGCTTACTAACAAGTGGCTACTACAGTTGCAAAATTGGTATGTGAAGTTCTGTCTGTTTCCTATGAAATTACAAGGTACAGTGTTCAGTGGAGCATTTTCTTATTAATGAAGAAAATCAAAGGTAAATAATTCAAATAAGGAGCAAGTGGTATGTGTAATATGGTCTTTGCAGGGTTTTGTGGAAAGCAGTGGGATGTTCAAGAAAACTTAATACCAACAAAAACTATTTACAAGGAAAACAACATTTTTGAGCAGTTGATTGTTTTGTTTGTTTTTCCTTTTGTCCCCCCATTGGCTTCATATTTGAGTTTGGTAAAAATGTATTTTCTGTGCTTCATCTCTGAATAGTGTATGGCTCATCTCCTCTCATGAGCATCACTGACTATTCTCAATCTTGTTAACGCAGTTGATGGTACAGTTTTTTCCTCTTTTATTTGATTCACTATTCTGCAAAACCAGAGGAAATGAGAGAAGACACTCCTCTGATTTACTATTTTGATTTATAATATAGTGTGTTTAAGACCCTTGTACCAGGACCTGATGTCCTGGAATATTTTGAAGTCAGATTCTGATGAAGGAAGAGATCAGGAAAACACAGTCCTTTAAGCTTTTTGATGATGATGAAACTATAACTCAAAAAAACCATCACTAGTCCTCAATTAAAAAGGTAAAAGCACCACCATGAGTATTTCTCCAATATCTTTGTGCCCTAGCAACAGCAGCAGTTCTTTATTCTCTTCCCACGCTGCTGTCTCTGATATGCAACCAGGAGTGATAACATTTGCTTTCCTTCTTTCCTCCTCCTTCACATGGCAAGTGCAGCTGCTGCCATCACCATCATATTAAATGACAACCCTTATGCTTTGCCTGCTAACTTGTAGAAACAGCTCTACTTTGGTCAGAAAACTGTTAGCCAAAAAAAATCCCAAATGTGGCAGTTCTCTTGCAGAGTATTGGGACCAAAAGCTTTAAAATGATTTCCATTTCCGTTTAAATGGGTGGGATTCGAAGTTTGGCAAGAAAATTACACACTGCAAACTTAAGTTTTCTTAGGGCAAAAAACCTCAAAGGTATTTCCAGGTAATTTTAGTTTAATGTAACAATTTCATTCTTTGCAACCACTGCATATGTTCAGAGACCTGATAGATGTTCTCAGAGAGAAATGAGGGATGTTTACTGGGAATTACCAAATTAGAATCTTGCCAAGCTACCGGAAGCTATGGACAGGCTTGTTTGGTTTTAAATGCATTTTGCAGTTCTGCTGTTGAATGTTTCGTGAACACCTTTATGTTTCACACCACATTGTGTAAGAATTTTTAGGCTTTTCCTCAGCTGTGTTTATCTTTCAAATCATGGTTTCCCTCTGTCTGCTCCTTATAAATCATGTTTCCTGCACTACTTTTTTTTTTTGGGTGGAGTACACAGTTGTTCTTCACTGTGTTATAGTTTACATTTAGCAGAACTAAACTACATTTTGTAGTTCACAAAAGCTACTACCAACTGCTTGTCTTGATGTAGCTACAGAACACGAATCAGATCCCTTTTCTCTCTTTCCTCTACTCAAAGTTTTATGAAGACATTCAGAGAAGTGTGCAGCCAGCTGTTTGAATTTACAAACAGTTAAAGTAAGTTTCCCCTGTCTACAAAGAGGGCTGAGTGTTTTCCTTTCAAGGATCATGTGGTGCTACTGAAGTGTTTCTTCAGTTTTAAGTCCAAGGCAATGTTCTGCTGATACAGGAAAAAGCAACATGTGCAAGAAACAAATGTTAGTGGACCTAACTTGCTACGTCAGATTGCTCTATTGTGATAACAGTGTTTTCAAGGGCTCTGTGCAAGTTTTATATTAACTGAGGATCAAGCTCAGGAATGCAGTTCAAATTGCCATCTTTCCAGTATTGCTGCTTGCCAAGAACCCGTGTGTTAGGAATGGAATGCTTCTTATAAATATATACTTCCGTGTGTATACACAGCAAGAAAGACTGCTTGACTCTGCTGCCTTGAAATGAGGAAAAAACTTTGTTTTCTGGGATCTGCGAGTTCACTAGAAGAAAACACAATCCCATATCCATTGCCTTTCACCAGGCAGTGTTCTCTTCACATATTTTATCTCAAACCTGTAAGGAGAGGGCAGCTACAGGTTTCTGTTTAATAAGCCATCTTTCCATCCAGACATACAGTTGTATGGATCTGCTGCTTATGTTATCCTTCAGTTGTTGGCTGGTATTTGTCCACAAATGAATAACTCTAAAACGTATCTACCTCATAAATGAATTCCTTTTAACCAAAGTGGCATCTGTGCCACTTTAACTAGTTTTATTGTGTCTTCTCATGAAGTTCAACAAGGCCAAGGGCAAGGTCCTGCACCTTGGTCAGGGCAATCCCAAGCACAGATACAGGCTGGGCAGAGAATGGATTGAGAGCAGCCCTGAGAAGGACTTGAGGGTGTTGGCTGGTGAGAAGTAAAACATGAGCTGGCTTCAGTGTGTGTCTGCAGCCCAGAAAGCCAACTGTATCCTGGGCTGCATCAAAAGGAGTGTGACCAGCAGGTCAAAGGAGGTGTTCCTGCCCCTTTGCTATGCTCTCGTGAGAACCCAGCTGCAGTCCTCATTCAGCTCTGGGGCCCCAAACACAAGAAGGACATGGACCTGTTGGAGTGAGTCCCAGAGGAGGGCCACAAAGATGCTCAGAGGGCTGGAGCACCTCTCCTATGAAGACAGGCTGAGAGCGTTGGGATTGTTCAGCCTGGAGAAGAGAAGGCTCTGGGAAGATCTTCTAGCAGCTGTCTAGTACCTAAAGGGGGCCTACAAGAAAGCTTAAGAGGGACCTTTTAAAAGTGCATGTAGTGACAGGACAAGGAGGAATGGCTTTATGATGACAGAGAGAGATTTCGATAAGGTATTGGGAAGAAATTCTTTACTCTGAGGGTGGTGAGACTCTAGAACAGGTTGCCCAGAGCTGTAGATGCCCCATGCCAGGCAGTGTTCGAGGCCAGGTTGGACGGGGCTTTGAGCAACATGGGCTAGTGGAAGGTGTCACTGCCCATGGCAGGGGATTGGAACTGGATGATACGTAAGGTCCTTTGTAACCAAAAGCATTCTACGATGCTATGATTATCTAGTGCTAATACCATCTCTTACCTTGCAGTTTTCAGCCTCTCTTTCCTGGATCTAATGAGCTGGACTAAATTTCAAAAATCCATGATGTTACAGGCACTCCTGCTAACACAACTCTTGCCAAGCTCAAGCAGTAAGTATGCGCCTCCTTAGTTATAATTTAATGCTTAAATACCCGCTATATGACTGTACAACTGCAACTTCTGCTCAGGGAAACACTATAAAACTCTAACTCTGTTGGCATGGCTGCTGACCAAAGAGTGGTGTCCTCTATCCCTATCCCAGAGATCGTTGCATTCATGCTCCTTGTAGGCAGAGCAGAGGAAATCTGAGCCTCTATCACTCTCACGTGGCCTTTTATTTCCATAGTATCTTTAAGTCCAATGACATAACTTGTTTGGAAAGAAAACATTCCTTTTTCCCCCAATATTACATACTTATCCTTAATAAATGATTACCTAAATCAGATGAGAATCATTTTTTTTGTTTCACTAAACTGTAATGCTCTCTGAATATGCATGAATAACTGTTTGCTCTCAACTTGCTTAACACAGAACAAGAATTGCAAGGTTTGATTTCTCCTTTAAAAAAGGAAAAGGAGTACCTCTTGTGTACAGTTTGCCTCCCAAAGGCTTCTCTCTCCTGTATGCAGTGATAAAATATGATCCCGATGAGAGAACTGCTGCCCATCAAGCACTACAGCACCCTTATTTTCAAGAACTCTGGCAAGTGACTTCAAATCACTTCAATCTTGAAGACTAAAAATAAAAAGTGGGGGGAGCACTATGTGCTTGTTATTTAAAGTGGACTGAAATGAAGTTTGCTTACAGTGCTAGTACTAAGCTTGCAATGCAGTGAACATAATTCAGTTACTTGCATTGAGTCCAAACTTCACCTGAAGCACAACTGATGTTTTACTCTTTCTTTTTTTCTTTTTTCCTCAAAATTTTTAGGGCAACTGAAGCACGTGGCCATGCACAAAAAAATAAGATTACTAGGAAATACATCAGGGCAAGTACTTCTATGTTTGTGGCAAATTTCAATGGGAAGTCAAAAGACAGGTAATATTTAAGTGGAAGAATTGTCAGCCCACTTAGAGAAAGTAATTTGTGGCACTGAGCTTGTTAGTTAGAAACAAATGTTTTACTTAAGCTGATTATTTGGGTTTATTCAGTCTGCCGGAACACTGATCTTTATTTGGTCTGATGCAGTTTCCCCCTGCCCCAAGCCCTGAAGCACGAGTTAGAATTCAGAAGCTGTGATACCACATAATCCCTTCAGTAGACTCTTATCATAGTTGCTATTGCTTAAAGAATCAGTTCCACATGTTTGGGGTTTTTTTATATAATAATCTTTTTCTGTAAAGAGCTTTACAGAAGAATTGTAGCAGAGGCACAAAGTGCTTTTGCTTTTCACCTTCAGTCTAGATCTTGAGAAAATTTCTTTTCTTTTTTTTACTTAATTATCCTGCATTTAGATGATATCCTAAAAAATAAGAAAATGAAGAAAATGGGAAAATCCTAAACTTGTATTTGACACTGGAAATTAAAAAAATTAAAATGTGATTAAAAGTTCTGGCAAATTAAAACTCAGTTTATATTCAAACTGTTTGAAAAATACTCAACATATTCTCTCTGAAGGGTTCAGTGCATTGGCAAGGTGAGACAGAAGTCGGTACCACGTGCAAAACTCTCAAATACAGGTTCTCCTCAGAAAAACAAATAACAGTAGCAGGGAAAAAAAATTACAAATTATTTTCTGTTCATTTAACCTTGAAAGCAGAAACTCTCCTTCCAGAGGAGCAGCAACTTTCCCCACCATTTAGCTCTAGGGTTCATCAATGTAGCCTTTGTGAGAAATTCCTTCAGGAAAAATTGCACGAAACATCAAGTGAGGCAGTAATTTTTAAAAAAGAATTAGCTGAAGTGGTATTTGGCAGAGCTTAGTGAGCTCAATACACACCCTGCACTGAACTTGCTAAGTATATTTTCCTTTTAGAACCTGATGAAGGAGAAGGTTGGTTAAAAATAACATGAAAGGATTCTTTGAGCTTCAGTATTAGAATGGAATATTATCTACAAAATACAAGATTTTGTATTACATTATAAATGACAGCTAACTTTTGTACAGTTTTAGATGTAAAAAATCTTTGGTTTTCAGTCAGCTCTGGCAAGTGTTCACCTCCTGTATTCAGTAACTTCAACCTTCACTTTTATTGAGGATGAGCCGATTATGAACCATATGAGGTACTTGATGCAGTTTCTGTAATTGCTGAATATTTCTATAGAACTATAATCTAGCTAAAAGCTAAAGCAACTTTTTATCTGATTTAAAGCAAATATAATGTAGTTGTCGTTTTCTTCAAGCCATTGCTCTCAATCAAAAGCTTTAACGGAGACTGATACTGCAGCTAGTTGCTTAAAAGAGCAGTATGGGCTTATACTTTATGTTTTAGAAATTTTGCACTGTTTCCTAGTAAGAGTTAAAAGGCAGAGTTTTTAACTCACTTGGAAAGAGCCATTACTGCGTTTGATACTATTGATTTTAAAACTCCCGATCTCCTAAAAATCTGCAATGATTCATTTGCAATGCTTAAATTTGGTGATGTGTTACAAAACAGGTTTGCTGTTTAAGAAGCAAATGAGTTTGTACAAGTCATACTTAGCTGGGGGGTTAAAAATCTTCTGCTTACCAAGTACGCATGCAAGACAGGTTTTGCCAATAACCTTTTTTTGTTTTTTTTAATTAGTTCTAAAAGCTACTCTGCTCATAACTGGGAAGTGAGCAGCTTTTTTTTTCCAGTAATGAACCACCTCTGGGACTGCTGCTGCTGCTGCTCAACATTTTCTGTGTAACAAACAGTGAAACACAATCAAAGAGAAGGCAGGCGAGGGCCATGTTGTATATATAAACTTAGTACAGGTTTTTTATATATATATGTATATATATATATGGATGGATTGATGGATAAAATAAAGGTGTGATGCTAAGCTTAGGAAATAGAACTAAAGACTGTAGGTCTACAGGCAGCAAGGTATAACCTTAACTTCCATGTACCTTACGCAAAAGCGCCATGAACTTATCCAGTGTTTTTTCCCAGAGGGGAAGATGGTGAGTTGCTTGGTGCCAGTATATTTGGAGTTAAGCATGGTGTGCAGCAGCAAAAATGGTCTAAAAATAGGTAACTTACTGTATCTATGGGATCTTCTTGCTCTCTGCAATTACTAATTTCTTAAAAGATTAAAAAACCAAAAAAGACAAATCCTTATACTGACACTGACTGATCATTCAGCCTCAGAGCTCTCTTCCCATCATTACACAGAAGGCTGAGGCTTATATTCTCAATAATATGTTCTTGATGGAGATACGTTAATTGTAGTGGTAGCTTCTCGTAATCTTCTACTGGAAACCTCAAACCACAGATGCTGAAGTTTAAATATTTCAACATTTCAACAAAAAAGAAAAAAAAATTCCCTCAGATTGTGTCTGCACAAGGTCTTTCCTGATCAGAAAAGTGTTACTGCAACTGTTCGCTTCTGTTACTGATATATCAGGTAGGTAATTATTCATACACCAGAAAAGTGGTTGTTTTTTGATAAAGTCAGAATTTTTGGTTAGTTTAAACTTGGAGAGAAGCAATGATCAGGGTACTGTCTTGTATATTTCAGTTCTCTCTTACATAGTCTGTATCGGGGGCTGTCAGGCTGTCGTAATGAAAAAGGCAATTTCACATTCAGCAGATTGTTTCTGATAGGAAAATTGGAAATTTGAAGGGAAGGGCCACACTGGAATTTTTCTTCATTTATTTTACACTTTCAGGTGGATTTTACAGTTTGGCACATACCGTGCTTCACAGGTATTTATTTAATAACAAGTTTTTTGCTGTCGTATCTCTGGAGACAACTTAAACTTCTCTGGCTGTTGGATTAATTGGCAAACTTGAATTTTCCCACCTGCTTTATAGTTAAAATACACTCAACTTTAAGCTACAAACTGGCATGTCTTCTTTCCACCCTCATTCTTCCACCTAAAATTCCATAGTGAACTGATCTGTGTTCCACTTGCTTTTATTTATTTTTTTTAACATGGTAGGAAAATGTTATTAAGAGCTGTATCTACAGTAGAACTCCGAGTTCTTTTCAGGTAAGTTTTAAGTATCCCTTTTCTTCCTAAAAGAATTCTTTTCTATATGGAATAAACGGTGGGATGGGCAGTTCAAGCATCTAGATGACATCCCAATAGTAAAGGGGAGGCTGAAAAAAGAACAGCCACAGATGTTCCCTGTACGCTGTTGAACTATGATTTGTAGCAGGGACACACACTGTAATCACATATGCAAGTAGCTGCTATTATTACCCTGATGTTGGATACTCCAGTCCTTCCCCAGGGGTTTTGTATTTTTTCAGCTGAAGGAAAAGTCTTTTAAAGTCACTACACATTTTCTCAAGTGTTTCATTTTGACTTAGACCATATGAAGCATTTACATCAGGGAGATAATGACACGGTTTTAATTCTGAGGTTTATCTGTATTTTAACAGTTAAACCCACTGTGTTAATAAAACAAAACTTCTGAATGATAATCCTGCTCAGTTTCAGTGTTTTCCCCATTCCTCATACTTTAGAAGAACATAAGACAGAATTGTGAAGTACAGTTCCATCTTTAATAACGTAGACATTCTAATGGTCAGCTTATAAATGTATCTGGAGGTTTTCTACACAGTATCTGAATTACAAGAATTAGACTTAGTTAAAAGTAGCCACTGCAGTTGTTTCTCCCCAAATTTTCATTCATATCCAGAAAAAGAAAATAATTATTATGCCAGAAAATATCTAAACTTTACTTGCAGTTTAAAAAATTCTACCCCACTTTACTGCTGCTACAGCAGGAAAGGCATTAACATGTGCCCTCAAATACAGCATGTGCATACTTGGGCAAGTTCCACGTTCCCAGACTAGTGGCCTCTGTTCTGCTCTGCACTGCCTGCTGCAGGATTCAGCAAAAGCCTAATTGAGAACACTGCCATATAGGGAATAGAGGAAAAGATACGGCAGGTACTTCTGTTCTCTGTCGTTCTGGGGCTTGACACAGAGCAGAATCTCCTGGGGGGGTTAATCTTTGCAAGAACTATTGAAAACAATTTAAGTGTTCCATTGCCAACTGATTAAAAATAACAGGTGTTCAGACAAGCCGCACTGAACTGTACAAGTACACCCCTACGTCTATCTCCACAACACTTAGCAGCTTAAGAGTGCTGAATTATAAATGAGACGTCTGATGTAAGACAAACAAGTTGTCTCAGAAACGCATCAACTCCAGTACATTGACCTAATTTTAGACTGCCAAGTCAGAAAGCATTTACATCTGCTGCTGCTGGATCTTCCACTTCACAACTCCTGGGACTGTGTGGTTACAAAATCCCTACCCTGCACAGTTGCCTGTCTGTGCAATTTCTGGTGTATGATATATTCAAAGATAAACCATTATGAGCAAGAGCAAAACAATGTTATTTCACCTTCCTAATCAAAATTCAACTATATTAAATATGAAGCCATGTTCTAGATGGGCTAATTTTGAAAGGAATCTGTTGTACAAAGTTTAGATGTTATTTCTGTACCAAACATTTAATTCAACAAAGGATTGATTACATCAAAAGTGACTGAATTTGAACAAAAAGTAAACAAAAATGCATATTTAAGATAGTTTAATATGTATTTTCTGAATTAGAAATATCACTTTCTTAAATGAATGAGTTCTAGTGTAATGTTACTCCCCTCCCCCATCACATTATTTATACATATAATACAGAGCCAATGGCAGTTGGAAACAACAATATTAAAATAAATGTTTAATAGATACAAAGGATCTTTTCTCCACAACATAGTTTTTCTGGTGTCTGGGCACCATTTTAAAGTAATTCTATATTAGCATTAAACTACTTAAGTGCAAAACAATTTTGTTTTAAAAATCTATGATTGCAGCATCCATCTTCCTGAATAACATTTTGAAGCCAGAAAGTAATGACTTTCATTTTCCATGAGTGCATTCCAGGCTGTCTTCTAGCCATCTCTGGTTAAAAAAATCAGTGCAAAATAAACAATGGTGAAGTACTAGTTTAACCATTGAACTTACTT